TATAAAGAATTGCTACTCAGAATGACAGGTGCCATAATATGATAGATAGATAGATAGATAGATAGATAGATAGATAGATAGAAAGGGTACAGTGAGAATGATGGGAGGGGTTAATCAGGCTTTATTACTCCCCTGCTTAAACGCCTCCAGTAGCATGCCAGTGCACTTGAAATAACTCTACCATGATGTACCAGGCCCTGCCCTGCTAGCCCCTTCCCAACTTTCCGTCCTCATCTCCTACCACATCATCCCTTGCTCAGTTCACAAACATTATTTCTGTCTTTGAACACAGCAAGTCCTTTCTCACCTGAAGGCCCTGCCCTCAGATCTTTAGTTGGCTGCCTCTTTCTTTATAATTCAGACCTCAGTGCCCATATCACCTCCTCTGGCCACTATAGGAGGCCCTCTCTCCTCCGTCAGTTTCTCTGCCATTACCTTGTTTCATTTTCTTCATAAGACTTTTTGTTCCCTGATGTTATTTTATTTGTTTATTAACATAATTATTGTCTCTTCCCCTCTCCTTTCCCTCCACCCCCATGAACTAGAATGGTGGCTTCCTGAGAACAGAACAGCCTGTCTGGCTTGGCCACTGCTCTGCCTCTACGCCCAGAACATTGCCTGGAGGCTGGCACGTAATAGACATTCATTAGGTATGAACTTGCTTTGGGGAAGATAAGACAGATTCACCAAAGAAAAGTTAGGTGAAAAATGTGCTGAGGTCAGGCTTCCCTGGTGGCTCAGTGGTTGAGAGTCCGCCTGCCGATGCAGGGGACACAGGTTCGTGCCCCGGTCCGGGAAGATCCCACATGCCGCGGAGCAGCTGGGCCCGTGAGCCATGGCCGCTGAGCCTGCGCGTCCGGAGCCTGTGCTCTGCAATGGGAGAGGCCACAGCAGTGAGAGGCCGGCGTACCGCACATGTAGTTCCCAAGAAAGGAATGGAGGGAGGGTCCAGGGCTCTGCTTTGGATCTTTGTGTGATCTAGCCCTCCCCTTGGACCAGCCCATCAGGGGTTGACTAGTTAGCTCTCTTCTTCCCAAGACAGGCACTTGACCCAGATCTTGGCCTTGGACCGTGAGGGTCAAACTTCGGGGTGTTAGAATACAGGGTGGAGGTGAAGCGTGAAGATGAGGCTAGGAGGAGTGATGTGGCCCAAGGGCTCTGTTTGTCAGGAGTAGGACTCAAGCACCAGAGCCTAGAGGCGGGGGCAGGGGCGGTGGTGGGGTAGGGGGGGTGACACCAGTTCCGCCAGCAGGTGTGTGACCTAGGCAATCACCTAACACCACCCGCCTCCATTTCCTCATTTTTAAAAGAGCTGACAATAATCTCTCTAAAGATGATAGAAGAGTATGCTCTTCATAGGCTAGTGTGAGGATTAAAGGATTAAATAAGTTGTTATGTGGCAAACGCCTAGTAATGTCTGGTAGATAGTTAGCTAAGCATCTGTACTATGTACTGGAGGGAGATCGCTGAAGAGTTTGAGAAATAGGGCTATGGGGTTCAGATTTGCATTTAGAAAGATGAGCAGGTTGGCTCATAGTGAGGTGAGGATCGACTGGAGGGGACTGAGAAATTAGTCAAGGAAATTTTGTAGGCTAGAGGAACCGAGACAAGGTAGTGGCAGTGAGGATGATGCGAGAGTTATGAAGACAATGGACTTTGTCCTCAGTCTGCGGAAGGAGGTTAGGGAAAG